CAGCCTTTGTCTATCCCCCTACCCCCAAGTTTACCTTCCAGCTCCTGGCCTGGGACAGCATCATAATGTCACCACACCATCCAGGGTTTATAGATTTTCTCCTTCTACACAGGGAGGGGGCTTCCATTTCCAACACAGACTCTGGGCTCCTGACCTGAGAGTCTTCAAAGGGAAGCTGGCCCCCCAGGGGAAGCAGTCAGCACAGCTCAGCAGCAGAGAGGTGAGGGGGCAAGAACTGTGCACTCACCCACCCGCCTGGGGCAGGGCTGGGCCTCTCTCCTGTGGTGTGACCGGGGATCTGAGCTTGCTTCCTGTGGATTCAGGAGAGGCACAGACAGGCTTGTACGTCAGCGGGTATCCAGCCGGCTCACATGCACGCACGGGTCAGCAGGACATGCCACACGGCTCAACATGGGTGTGCACACGCCACGAGGCACGTATTATCCCAGTACATTCAGCCGAATGCATCCTGGCAGATTAAGACGACCTTAGGGCAGAGGTTGGCAACCTACAGCCAAATCTATGCACCACTTATGTCTGTACAACCCTCGAGCTAAGAATGCTTGCGACGTTTTTTCAAATGATTGGGGAAACAAATAGGAATATTTGAAGAGTATGTGGAAATCAAATGCCAGTGTCCGAAAGTAGTTTTATGAGAGCCCAGCCACACACGTTTGCGTATGATCTGTCTGCAGTTGCTTTCACACTACAAAGGCAGAAGTGAACAGCTACACTCAAGAATGTATGGTCTGCAGAGACATTTACCCTCCGGCCTTGGGAGAAGAACTCTTGGCCAGCTCGTGTGTGAGGGCACCCGCAAAGCTGGTGGGATGTGCTCTTGCCTCCGACAAAAAGGAAAAGTTCAGAGGGAGCTCTGGTGGCCTAGTGGCAAGAAGCTGCTCTGCAATCCCAGAGGTACACAGTTCCAATCCACCAGATGCTCTGCTGGAGAAGGAGGGGTAATCTCCTCCTGTGCCAGTCAGATCCAATTTGACGGTGTTGTTGTTGTTGTTATGTGCCATCGAGTCGTATGCGACTCATAGTGACCCTATGTACAACAGCCCTAAACGGTGCTCTATCCTGTGCCATTCTCACTTCCTGTGACACACCCATCCCGATTACCCCAGTCACTGAATCAATCCACTTCATAGAGGGTCTTCCCCTCCTGCGCTGTCCCTCCACTCTACCCAGCATGATGTCCCTCTCCAAAGACCTGTCTCTCCTTACAACATGTCCAAAGTATGTCAGACGAAGCCCCAGAATCCTTGCCTCCAAGGAGCAGCCTGGTTTAATCCTCTCTAGGATGACGGTACACACACACAAAATAATAAAATTTTAAAAAAAATGAAAAGTTCAAGTAACTTACTGACATTTTATAATTAGAAAGCCTAGGCAGGGGCCATGCTCATTTCAGCACATGCACGCCAGCTTTGTGTTTTACAACTTTATGTGGTGTTTTTTTTTTAAGGTGTGGGGAGCTCTAAAGCTTTACCTTTCATTCTACTCATTTCTCTTGTGACCTGCAGGGCCCACGGTGGGTGATTTAGTCAACGCTCAGTGATGAAACAACAATCTTAGTTCTTTCCATCAACCTGCCACTTCTTCTATTGAGTTGATGTCCTCGCCCATTTTACAGATGCGAAAACAGAGGCCTGAAGCAGTGAGGACACTTGCCCATGCTCACATGGCCAGTCAGTGGCAGAGAAAGGTCTGGTTCTCAAGTCTCCTGCCTGCTGGCCCTGGCTCTTTCCTGGACCACTGACAACGAGGACAAAATGTCCTTTTCTTGGGATTCTGATGGGTGTTTTTTTGCTCCCCATCCTTCCTCTCAGGGCCTGCCCATGCATCCTAGGTCCCCAGCCAGCCCGAAAAGGTTTCCTTTGCTGGGGGTCTTGGCGGGGACCCAGAAGCACAGTGAGTGATGAGCACTTTTTCCCTTTTCCGGCAAACAGGGGACAGGTGTGGGGTTGAACCGCTCCAGGAGGTGAGAGGTGGGAGGGACTGATGCTGAGTTGGGGATACCAAGGAAACCGACCCAGACGAGTGTGCCGGCCCGAGCAAGGGGCTGGCTGAAGGGGAAAGAAGAGTCTGGAACTCTGGGGAGGCAGGACCAGGGTGGACCGCAAACCCAGCCCACTGCCAGTGAGTTGATTTAATCCTCGAGGACACAGGAGAAGTGCCCCTCAGCGTTTCTGAGGCTGTAAGGCGAGGCCGACTACCTTACCCTTCTCCCACGGAGCTGGGCGGCTGGCTGGTGTGACCCACCGCCCTTCTGGTTAACAGAGGAACTAGAAAGGGGGGATTCTGAAAGGGGAGAGGATCAATCAAAGGCCAAGTCACCAAGCTGGCAGTCTTGGGAAAGGCTGTTTCTCCTTTTAACAATTGGCACGGAGTTGATTCTGACTCAGGGTGACCCCACGTGGGTCAGAGCAGAACTGTGATTCACAGGATTCTCACTGGAGGGTTTCTGGGAAATCAATCATCAGGCCTTTCTTCCGAGGTGTCTCTAGGTGGATCCGAACTGCCAACCTCTTGGTTAGTTTCTGAGTGTACATGAATTACATCAGCCAGGGTCTCAGAGCCCCCTCCAAACCAGGCTCAATCATGAAGCCTCCACAGCTCAGCATGAGTTCTGAGACCGCAGAAGGCCAAACTAGCATGCAAGACGGCCAGCAACCTTCTTCCACTCTCAGGGAGCCCTTGGGCCGTACAATCTGTTGTCGCGCTTGTCCACCAGCTAGAAAGTGAGTCAGAGATGTGACTCCACCCAGAAGTGCCTCGGAAGAAAGTCCTGGAGACCTACCTCTGAATAAAACATCCACTGACAGCCCTCCAGAGCCCAGTTGTACTCAGATACACGAAAAGCCCACTCTAAGACAAGGGAGACTTAACAGCAGCTGGTCTGGGGCAGCGGCCAGACTCCTGCCATCCACTAGAGAAAGAGCTGGAATAGAAAATGCCCTAAGCTTTCATTTTTCCATCAGAGTCTCAGTAGCTGCTCTTGGGGAAGGGGCACCAAGACTCCACGGGGACTTCCCCTCCCTGCAGGATACAATTCCAGGTCCAGGCTGCATATCTGGTCCCTCCTCCAATCTCATCTTGCACCCTCTTCTACCTGTTCTCTGCACGATAACCACCAAAGCTTTTTGTGTGGACGCTGAGCCTTCCCACCCCAGGGCCTTTGCACATGCTGTTCCCTCCACCCAGAACAGGGTTCCCTCACTCATTCTTCTAATGGCTGTTCACACATCGCTTCCCTGGATTAGCCTTTCTCGACCAACCCAACCCCAACTCTGGTTTAAGTCTACTTAATGCAGAGTCTCTGTTTGCTGTGTATGTTTCCCTGTCTTTTGGGTACACGGGGGCCTCCTTGGGGACAAGGGCTCTGACCCTGCTCTGGCACTTAGCAGAGGGCCTGACACACAGCAGAATGATGGGTGCCACCAGGGTGGAGGGCAGTGCCTGGAGTTACGGAGAAAGGACAGACTGACATATGACCTCTATACCCCAGTGGCTCAAAGGTCCCCTGTTTTCAGGCCTGTTGCCACCAGTACAGGCCAAGCGGTGTCTGGAGGAGTTTCCCCGGAGATTCTGCGGCAGTGAGGGAAAGATTCCACATCTTTGCCAGCCAACACGGCTTCTGGGCAGTTGAGCTGTGTCTGGTGGGGCTGAAGAACTGAATTCCTAGTTTCATTTCACTGTCGTCAGCCTCCATTTCAGTAGCCACAGGTGGCCGGTCACTCCCCTAGTGGACAACACAGCTCTAAAGAGAAAGGTGGGCACAGGTGTCCTATGCCCCCTGAGGCTGTCTGTCCAGGCAGGTGGTCCCCGGGGTCACACGAGCCCAGTCTTCCTTCTTCATGAGGCAGGATGTCAGGGTCTCACCATTCTGTACTGCCACCAGGCTTGACACTGAGACCCTCACCTCCTCAAGCACCGAGGACTCACGGCAAATCGTGAGTCAAACTTGAGAACGAACACGCCGAGGGTGGGACCACATCCGTATCATCACCAACCTCAGCATCATAGGATCCCGGATGCATCCACTGACACCCCCGGCAGTGACCACTGCCAGCTCTGTTACCGACCCCACACATCCACCTACGCTGTCATCGGGCTGTCATCACACCACCCCAACACGGTTGTCGCCACCACAAGCCACCAATGCCACGGCCATTGGCACAACCCCAAACACTGTCACCACCCCACCCCCCATTACACACGCCATCGCTCTACCCAAGACCACCAGCAGCAGTGACAACACTGACACCACCTCCAAAATGCCCTTCATCGATTTCATCACCATCAATATTACCACTCACCTCAGCACCGACACGTCTACTATCACCTCCTCCCCATTCATTACCACCCCACCACCTCCATCATTGCCAAGCCCCCCACCCTAACGTCACCACCACCTTCTCCCACCCCTCACCCCACCATTGGGGAGCCTGCACAGGACACCAGCTCAAAGCTCTGACTCCAGAATGCAACTTCAGGCCCCGGTTAAAGTAGCAGCTGTGTGAGTTGAAATCCTTTCACTTCTATGAGCCTCCATGTCTTTGTAAAAGGGGGGCTAAGCCACGAAAACCGGATGACCCTAGGACCCAACTGTGGCAAGATTCGCCTGAGATGGTAGAATGTGCACGACAGTAATTTGGCACCGTTTTCTGGGTTCTGTGATCAGCGAGCCCAGGGCTCTTTGATGTTCACAGTCATGAGTGTGAGAGATCGAATCCACCCGTTTTGCAGATGAGAAAACAGAGGCTCAGTGAGATAACACAAGTGGCTCAGGCCCGATAACTAACAGATAAGGACGCTGGGTTGGGATGTGAGTCTCCAGGGGGACCAGGCTGAGGGGGGCCATCTTCTGGGCCAGAGCCTGGCTTTGCGGCCGGCCGGTCCAGTCTCAGGAGAGTACCCTGACAAGTGGTGATAACAGTGGCGGTGAAGGGTCCCCAGTCAGCCCAGGGGCCGGGGCCGGGGCCGAGTCTGCTCACCTGTGTCCTGGCGAAACTGGTGCATGGACTGCAGGTCGATGATGTAGGGCACCAGCTGCGCGTCCACCTGTCCCAGGACCACGGAGCCGCGGGAGTCCTCCTTGAGCACGCTCTCGATGTGGTGGCACACGGTAGCCGTGTAGGGCCGCCAGCGACTGTGCTCATTCAGCCACTCCCACACCACCACCCGGGCCACGTTCTGGGGTGGGAAGCCCAGGCCGGGCACCGGCACCATCACGCCCTGGCCTGGCCGTGACATGGCCACCGCAGCCTGGGGGGCCAGGGCCCCACGGGTGCCAGGCCCAGCTCTTCCTGGGCCTGCGGGCGGGCAGGGAGGGTCCTCTCTCCCCAGGGATGCAGCAAGGGCTGTCCGGCCTCCTTTCTCTGGAGGACTTTGGGTCCTCTGTGGGCCCAGAGGCCTCGGAGTAGGTGGGTGGGGTGGTGATCCAGGCTTCAAGGACCCCCTGCCACGCAGCGCTGTCTCAGTTCAACAAATGTCTTCCTCCTGGGGGTGCTGCTCTCAAATACTTGGCGCAGGTAGGGGAGCGAGGCCGCCCCTACTCTAGACCCGGCCTCTTCTCTGCTACTCTCCCAGCATTCGGCCAGCCGCGCACGGCCTGTCACCCGGAGGCCCGGGGCCCAGCCTGCCCGTGGCGTCCAGCCAGCCCTCTGCGCTCCCAACTGCGTCCCAGACCCTGCGCCTGACTCCAACCGGGCTGCTCTTGGCGTCTGGGTCCGCCCCCCTCCCCCGACGGCTCCTGTAGAAAGGGGCGTCCCTGCACCCCTGTCCCCTCTCCACGGTGTCTTGAGGGGCCCCGGTGGCCGCAGAACGCACAGGCGGAGGAGAAGCGCACCCTCGGCCCACCGGCCTGGGCTGTAGCCCCCGAGCTGGGCTGGGGGCCGAGGGGGGCGGGGGCCCGTGGGCACGCCCCACCCCACTCGTGCTCGCGACCTGCCGAGACAAGAAGGGGAGAGGGCCCTTTAAGAGCAGAGCGCAGCACCCCCTCCCCCTTCCCGGGAGAGCGCACGGCTAAGAACAATGGGGAACCGATGGGGGGGACCTCTGGGGGGCTTCAGGGGGCGCCCTGCCCGCCATTCCCTTGGGGCAGGCCTTTAGAGAGCTGAAGCCGGGGCGCGGTTTTCCGAGGTGTCCGCGGGAAGCGCCCCCTCCTCAACTCTGCGCGTTCCCTTCCCCCCCCCCCGCGCGCTCGCGCCCAGCCTGGGGGTGCAGGGCGCGGGGATGCGCGGCGCTGCAGGCTTGGCCCAGGGCCCCTCGGGGGGTCGCGACACGGAGGGGCGAGGCCGCGAGCTGCAGCGCCCTGTGCCTCCCGCTTTTGGGGTGACAGCTCCCCAGCCCAGATCTCCCCAAGCCGCGCGGGCCCTGCACGAGCCGGGGGTGGGGTCCCCCCGCGCCCCACGCTCTCACCGCCTCTCCGCGCTGCCTCCCTCTCGACTCGCGCCTCGGCCCTGCCGCCTCCTGGGCTCCCCCCAGCCGGAGGGAGCCGCGGTCTCCCCTCTGCGCCCCGGCCCTCGCAGGCCCCGCGGCCGCCGCGCGCCGACAAACAGCCCCACCGACAGACGGACGCAGGAGCAGGCGGCCGGACGCCGGGATCCCGCGGGTGGGAGGCGGCGGCCGCCGCGCTCGGGGGAGGGGCGGGGCGGGGGCGGGGGAGGAGGAAGGGGAGGAGACAGATCGCGCCCCGAACGCCGCCGGCGCTGGCTTGCGAGTCCCAGGGCGCCCCAAATCCCAGACTAGGCCCTCTGGGGCCCCCAAGCTGGGCGCGAGCAGGGGGTGGGGTGTTGTCACCTGCTAGCTTCTCAAACGTCCGTGCTTTCCTGTCGCCTAGACTGGGCCAGGCACACTATAGGTGCTCAATTAATGCTTGGAGAAATGAGTGAGGCCAGATTGGCTGAGGAAAGCTCTACGCGCCTTCCGGCCTCGGCTCCTATTCCGTGCATTCAAGGGTTGCCAACGCCCATCTCAGGGCCAAATGGGACCAGGGAATCTGGAGCAGACAGAGGCGAAGACTGAGGCCCAGGGTCACACAGCCGCTTCCAGCCACGCCAGGCTGAGCACTCGCGTCAAATTCTCTGCCAGAACTTAGTGAGCTGAGAGCACCCCACTTGTACCCGATGAGCGGCCTGGAGGCGGCAGCCTGCCTCTCTGGTGGGGGTGGCCCCGGCCTGGAGGCATAGGCCTTTAAGCAGGTCTCCAGGGCGCTGGAAATCAGAACGCGCCCCTCCCATCTTGTTCACAGCTGTAGACCCCATTTCCTGCAACCCCCAAACCCACTGCTGTCTGTCTAGTCACTTGCTGTCTGTCTAGTCCCTTCCCCCACGTGAGGCCTCTCCACTGGGTTTCTAAGGCCGGGGGTCCTCTCAGACTCACTGCCTCATTGTGGCCTGTAGTTGTTGTTGATTGCCTTCAAGTCGAGCACCACCCATGAACAAAAGGCCTGAAGCCCCTCTACAACTACCGACGTTTATCAAAGTTCATAGAGTTTCCGGAGGCATGTGGTTTAGGAAGCGGATGCCACTCCTGCTTCCAACATTGTGGCCTAGGCCATAGGAAATTGTACCGCACCTCTCTGGGGGTTCAAATCCACCAGCTGCTTCTCAGGAACCAGGTGAGCCTTCTCCTGCCCTGTGTTTACAGCCTCTGGAACTCAGTGCAGAGTCAGCTCCCCGGTGGTGCTCCCTCCATGGTAACGAGCGAAGTCATCTTTCTCTGACAGAGTGGTGCCTGGTTTTGAACTGCTGATCTTTCAGTTAAGCTCAATCACAGGGCTCTTTCTGCAAACAGTAGGTGTTCAATAATCATAATAATGGATGCGCATTGGCTGAAGGGGAGGGAGGCGGGAGCAGTCATGGTAATGGTCCCGCCTGGCTGCTCGCAGCTGAGAACACACACGGCCCAGAGGGGGCGGACCACCCAGGGCCTGCAGTGTTTAGATTAGGGAAGATGAAGGATGGGTCCGGGAACTCCAGCCTCAATGTCGATGTCAGCAAGGACAGCAGCCGCATTGGGAGGCTGCCCGGAGCGGCCCACACTCCCCTGCTTCCTTACCAAGGCAGCTGGTGATAAGTTGAGGTCAGGGGCCCTTTCCCAGAACCTAAGAGCCTCGGCCAGCTGGAGTGGCCTTCCCCGCTCCAGGCCTCTGCTCGGAGGTGGAGGACAGCCCTCCCCCTCTGCCCCCACCAGCATCCACTTGCTGGTGTTGGTCCCAGACCAAGGGAGGGGAGGCAGGGTCAGGTCTGCACTTAACAGATTGAGATGTTAAGTTGGGATACAACCTAGGCTTAGGGACAGCTTTCGGGGTGTCTGTGAGGCACCCCCCACTTCAGCAAATGTGCGCACCTCCGTGTTTTTCTGAGAGGAAGTATTACGGCTGTCAGCAGCCTCAGAGGATAGGATCAGGTGGTTCAGAGCTGATGTCCAACAGTCTTATGGGCAAGGACTAAAGGAAACCTGGGGACCCTAAGGTCGCAGTGGGATTGAGCAACATATTGGAAAAAGAACCCAGGCCTTCTGACTTCCTGTGTAGTGCTGCTATTCAAGGTCCCACTAAATGTCACCTCTTCCAGGAAGCCTTCCCTGAACTCACCCTGTCTTCCTCTGTTCTGCTTTGCTGAGGCTCTGATCTCACGCACACCGGATCACAATTAAGCCTGCCCCTGGTGGAGTGATGGGAGCAGGACCGCATCTCCCTCTCTTTGGATGATGTGTTTGCTGCTTCTTGCTAAGTGACTGTTGTTTATCGTGCTGTGTGCCAGGCACTTTCATGTTTTGTTAGCTGCTGCTGGGTCAGTCCAGAGTCCTGTGGACAGCAGAATGAAGCGTGGTCAGCCCTGCTCCATGTCCACAATTGTGAATCTGCACAAGTCCCTTCCTGAAGCTGCTTTGTATCTGAGTGTCTCCCAGCCCCGGGGCTCACCTCCCACTGAGTTTATTGACAAGGGTCTGTTGGGGTCCTCTGGGGTCCCATCAGCTGATTTGTGGAAGGAGACTACCAGGCCTTTCTTCCTAGTCTGTCTTAGTCGTGAAGTTCTGCTGAAACCTGGCCCACATGGGGAAGTCTGCTGATACTTGACATACAGTGGCTTCCAACATCACTGCATCATGTAAGCCATCAGCGTATGACAAGTTGACAGACGAATGGTGGCAACATTTATGGAACACTCACTAATTTTCACAACCACCCCCAAAAGATCAGCACTCTCCTTATTGTGCAGGTGAAGAAAAAAACCTCCACAAAAAAAACCCAACAAACCCTCAGAAGCTCAGAGGGGTGAGCTTCCCAGGTTCCCACAGGGAGTAAATAGGACTTGAACCGCAGACCGTGTTGCATTTCCTGTAGCACCGCATCATCCCTATGTTTGTTGAGTGACTAACAGATGGCACCCAGCTTAGCATCTGACATAAAGCGGGCCTTACCACCTCCCTCATCTGGGCCTGTCATTGAAGCAGGGAGGAGAATGTCTTAGAGTAAAGCCCTGTGTTGGGCACATGGGGAGAAAGGAGGTTCAAGGAAGGGGAAGAATTCATTGACCTTAGGGGGCCACAGTCCCTTGCAGAGATGGTGCACAGACCTGGAAGAAAAAAACATCGATCTACCAAAGAATAAAAAATATCGATCAGAAGCTTGTTTATCTGTCCTCTCACCCATCCTCCATTCTTTGTACCTGGGCAGATACCCTTTCTTCCCTCTTCCTTTTGTTCCTTTCACCCATTTACACATCTATCCCGAAAGGCTGGTGCCCTCCTGTGTGCCAGGCTTGGGACTGTGTGAGGAGACTCAGAATTCACCGAAGCAATGAGCTCACTCCTGCCCTTGGAGTCCCTAAGTTCCGTGGGTAGGTGAGAATGTGAATCAAGGTGTCACATAGCGTGAGGACAAACTTTTGCAGGAGTCATGAAGAAACCTTCTGGATCTTCTTAGATGATGCAGACACCGCTGGTGGCTTGGGGGTAAGGAGCTGCACTGTCAACCCAAAGGCATGTGGTTCAAATCCACCAGCGACCCAATGGGAGAAAGATGGGCAATCTCTTCTCATGGAATTTACTGCCTCTGAAAACCCGCTGGAGGGTCAGCTGTGGGTCGGTTCTGACTTGACAGCACATAACAGTGACAACAATCGTGTCAGAGGAGGCAGTGGTTGGTCAAGAGGGGCACTGCTGGGAATTCAAGCTGGGTTCACATGAGGATGTGAAATAAGGGATAACATTGCTGCCATCAGAGAGACCTTGGCTGCAGAAAA